GGAACTGCTTTGTACGCTATTTATGAGTTTATATAGAATTCAACTAAATATGAAAACTATAAATATAACTAATTTTATATTTGTTCGAAATTTAAAATTATTTTAATTTTGTACAGGATGGTATAGTATAGGTATTTGTTATATAAATGTGGCAATAAATTATTATCTTGTTTCACATAGTTCTCACTTATACAAATAAAAGCCCTTATTTACTTTTTATATTAAATAGAAAAAATAATTTATCTGAAGTGCTTGTATATTGTATAGTATTTTTATAAAATGCATACAAAGACTTTTATTCATTAACTATCTACACTAACATATTTTTGATATTCGTTATTTTATACATTTGAGTTCATTTTTTGCTGTGCAAATCCTTGCAACTATTGGGTAAAATAATAGTTTTGTGACCTAACCTATATACCTATCTAATTGTTTGTATTAAGAAAACAAAAGTACTTGGTTTAGCTTGAGTAAAACTAAACTCTAAAGTAGGTACTTGGCTTGACTGACCTATGATAAAAATAATATTTCTTCTAATTCAATACATTTTTATTACTCGTAACCTTCCTTAGGTTTTAGTATAAGTACTTATTGAATTGCATGTAAAGATAAAGTTAGTTTAATTAAAGATATTCTAATAGTTTTTATGTATCTACCTATATTTGACTTAATTGCATGTTTGCAATTCTTAAAGATTATTTTACTACCTAATTGTATTTATTATTTTATCGATAATCGGTGCATAATGTATTACATATTTTATTATATTAAATTAACACTATTAAGAGGACACCTCACCCGCATGTTGTCACTATCTTAAAAGTGCGTAACATAGCAAATTGTACTCTCAGCAGAACTCTGTTAGTTTAAAAATTAGAGTGAATTCACCTCTTATACAATTTAAAGGTAAGATTATTATCCAAGCAATCTCATGGGCTTTTTATTATAATATTTTAATTTTTTAATTTTAATTATTTGAGTATTTTAAAATTGTAAATTGTTTGTATAACTTAAAATATTCATAACTTGCTTTAAAATTTAAGTATAATAAAAAACCCATGAGGTTGCCTAGATAATAATCTTACCTTTAAATTTTATAAGATGTCAATTCACACTAATATTTAAACTAACGGAGCTACACGCGTTCTGCTGAGCGTACAATTTGCCGTGTTACGTACTTGTAAGACGGAGACAACATAATATGCGGGGGAGGCGTCCTCTTAATTTACCTAACAGTAATGTTTATAAATGAGTTATGAGTAAACCAATTCAAACCTTGGTTTCATAATTTTCTTTAAATATATTTTAAAAGCACCTCAAGAGTTACAGTTTAATTAAATATTTAAATATTATTCTTTAATATTAATAAATGCTTTTGTTAATGATATTAATTATTAAATATATTATATTTGATTTATAGTGTCTATCTGTTTACTTTATAAATTAACTATACTTATTAAACTTGAGTACACTAATCTACTTGACACTCTAATATGATTCATTAAAAAAAAATATCTACCATTATTGTATACTCATTTTTACATAACGTAGGAGTGGGATAATAATTAAGTAATATTTTTAGAAAATATATAAAATTTCATTGTGTAAAAAATCCGCAGAATAGGCTTTAATATGTATACTTATAAGTACATAACATATATTATGGTACCTAAAATATTTCTTAGCTAATAGCTGATGAATGTATTCATGTTGTGCCTTCAAAACAGTAGGCACTATTCTAATTTTTATAGTGATGGCGATTGTAAATAAACAATTTTTATCTTTTAGAAATAGATATTATTTTGCTGATGTTTTGCATTTGCAAAACTATTTAACATCGGTATGCTCTATGCTCACGACCCACATGGATTTTATTATTAGTCCGGGTGTTTCATTCTAAATGATATGAGAATATTTTCGTGGAATATAATTACGTCGCCAAATAAATTATATAATATATTAATTTAGGTAACAAAATACAAACAAAAAACGAATAACAAGAAAATCGTTATAATAATAAATTAATAACATAATTTTTGAATTCTTAACGTACATCCTGTTTGAGGTTGGTTTTATTATTGATTTTTCTATTTTAGAGGTCTCTGTACAAAACAATTACAAATTTCATTTTATAATACCTACATAAGAAGAGATATTATATGTATATATATCTTAAAAACTTAAAACAGGATGATAACATGCTTCTATAAATAATCGTTGTTTCAAATTGCATTGCATAGATTTCAATAAAAATAAAGTTCTGAAAGTAAAGCAATCAATATAAAACAAATATTCGCGGTCTTAATAGAATTTAAAAAAAACCATGTTAGGAAGAACACTCGTCTTCTAATGACAAATAATTACAATTTGGAGCGTTTGAAATAAAACGTGTACTTATTATAATAATAATAATATCTTTGTTCGACTGTCATATCTTGTTTAGTTTTGAGAAGTTTTAAAAATTGGCTGTTATAACTATGATACGAACATCGTCGTCGTTTCTATAGTTGTAATTAAACAGCCACAGCGCGTGCGCGGTTTTATGTATAGTCGCATATATGTTATACAGGGTGATTCTTTAAACAGCTAGTAAAAATATATTGTTATGTTGTAACGCATTAACATTTTTATCCATAATTTAAAGTCAAAAATAAAAATTATTTTTAAATTTTTTATTGTTATCTTTTTTAAAGTTTTTACATTTTTGATCGACAATTGAATTCTGAACGAATTGTTAGTTAAATAGGGGATAGGTAGTGAAAGCCGAAAGGGATACTCTGCAAATTGAATGTTAGTTTACTATCTATTTTTTTAATCAAAACTTTAAATAACTTCTAAAACGTTAATACTCGTTACGAATTTTGGTGTAATACTTCTCAAATTTAAGTTTTAAATAACTTCTAAAACTTTTGTACATTTTGAAATGATACATTTTTATTGTTATAAGAATCACTTAGTTCTACATCATATGTTTTGTAAACTATCTAGCAAATAAATTAAATTTTTTTTTAGATTCTGAGTGAAACGATGAATGTATTGATTTTACAATGATGTGTGTTTTTTTATTTTTTTATTTTTTTATTTTTTTTGTATCTGTGTACACGATAAGTAGTCGAAATAATGCTTCGATTTTCGACTTCAGTATCTTGTTCGATTGGAAAGTGAATATCGTTGGTGCATTGGGGAGGTCAAAATTTAAATTTCCCAGTAGTTTTCACATGCGCCGGGAAAAACAACATAAAAATTAAGAAAAAACGGGAATTTTTACGCAAAATTGATTTTCCAAAAAATCGATTTTGGTTATTGGTGTAACTCTAAAAAAAATGAACGTATATACATGAAATTTTCACTGGTTGTTTATATTTGCATTTTCTATACACGATAACATTTTCAAAATATTTTGATTTATTTTGAACTGTTTAGGGACATTTTCATTTTCCATTTTTTTTTAGTTTTTTTTCTAAAAATTTCAATAAAATTTTATTTGTTGGTTGCGAAAGCTTGAAAATTTAATAGAAGGCTCCTAATATGTTGTTTCAAAGGCAGATGAAAAATATTAAAAATCCTTAGTCACAATTTTTTTTTATAAGCATTTAAAGTTCAAAAATTGACAAAATATGGAAAAATCACGAAAATTAGCAAATTATTTTGAGTTAAAAATTCGTAAAAATTTTTCTTTTTAAATCTAAGATTTGAAAATGAAACACAAGATTCCTTATAAGATTATCTACCTTTATCAATAAAAAAATCTCTACCGGACAGTCAAATTAAATTTTTATGAGCGTTTGAAATTCAAATTTTTACAACATTGGATATTCACTCGATTACTCATGTAGCGATTTCTTTATTTTGTTGCAATTCAAAAACGAACAACTGTAGATACATGAAAATTTCACTGAATGTTTAAATTAGCATTTACTATACACCATACAATTTTGAAAATATTTTGACTCTTTTGGAGCTGTTTATGGATATTTACAGCTTTCAATTTTTTTAGTTTTTTTTTCTATAAATATCAATAAAGTTTTATCTGTTGGGCCAAAAAGTGTAAAAATTTAATACAAGGCTCCTGATATATTGTTACAATATCAGTTGAAAAATATTAAAAATACATAGGCACAATTTTTTTTTATAAGCATTTTAACATCGAATTTTGATAGAATTTTTCAAAATCTCGAAAATTATTAATCATCGTAATTAATAAATTATAAAATGTTCAGTTTTTATAGCTAAGGATTGAAAATTTAAAACAAGATTCCACGTAAGTAGTTAATTCTCTTACCGAAAAATCTAAAAAATATACAATCACAGTTTACTTTTATAGTCATTTTATGTTCAAATTTGGACGAAATTACATATTAAAAAACCTAGTAATTTTGTTGTGATTATATAATATTATTCGTGGGTACCTACTTGAAACTTCTAAAGTGTACTATTATATATATTTGATAGTATCAGGGTTTGTTGTTGATGTTGATGTATAACGTGTTATAAGTACCTAATGGATATTGTGATAATGTGATATGATTAATTTGGAATTTATTATAGGTCAATTTTTTTTTAATACCATAGATATGTATATAATTTGTATTAAACCTAGACTGACATACCGTCTTCGCTCAGAATCGTTTTTCTTATACAATGATATTGTATCATTGAATTCAAATTTAATAGCATCCATTATACAGTGACCCACTTGTAACCTACTGTACAGCAGAGCGACATCCACTTACCCACCTTTTTTTAATTTGATTTATGTCTTGTAACGACCTGCACGCATTATAATGTAATACATTATAATATTATACTCATGGCTGTGTATTTCACGCTCTCTGTTGGTTGCAGGATTTCGCCCTATTTTCTTTATTAAATTTAAAATAATGTAAAATAGGTACATGTATATAATATAGTGTGTAATATAAATATTGTTTCACTACACTCGTCCACTGTTATTATTATTATTGCTATACATACATTTTTTTACAGATTAATTAATTATGGGTCGATACAGCGGGAAAAAATGCCGACTCATCACCATGTTTTGGCTGACGACGTTTTTCTTTTTGGTGGAGATCATCGTCGGCTATATAACCAACTCGATGGCCCTTGTCGCGGACAGCTTTCACATGCTCAGCGACGTCGCGGCGTTGGTGGTCGCATATTTATCGGTTAAAGTAAGTACCTATAAATCTATAATAGTAGTGATGATAATATGATGTCGACAACGATAAACTGAAATATTATTGTCGACGACTAAAGTCGTGCGTTTAAGATCTGGTCTTAAAAAGCGCGTACCTATATATTATGTATATATGTAATATTTATTTGCATTTGCCGTTTTAACTTTTAAATACATTCCTGCTATTATAATGTTAATGTACACGCATACCTATTTAACCGTAGTGAATGGAAAAAATTCGTTATTGTGGTTTGTTCGAGTTTTATACCGAAGTCATTAAGAGTCGTTAAAAATTAATATAAATGTAATTAATACATTTGATCCAGCCAATGATCATACGCGGGTTCTTGAATACTCATAATTTTGTTATGCAGACGTCCTAATATTAGAGCGTCCTTTATTTGGTAGCCAAAACGTACTTCTACACAAGTATATAGTTTCTTAAAAAAAACGTGCTGTAAATTGTAATCCTAAGTTTTTAAATGTACTAATATTGCGATTTCAGTTAATAATTAATTTTTTTTAGATGTCACCAAAAAAATGGTCAAAAAACACATTTGGATGGGCTAGAGCTGAAGTACTTGGAGCACTAGTAAATGCTGTGTTTTTAGTAGCTTTGTGTTTTTCAATTACTGTTGAAGCTTGTAAGAGGTATGTATATAACTATTAAAATAATAATATAATATTGTATTTGAATAACAATTTTATCTATATTTTTTTTTGTTTAAGGTTTATTGAAGTAGAGACCATTCACAATCCTAAATTAATTGTTGTGGTTGGAATTTTGGGATTATTTGTCAATATTTTGGGTTTATTTTTGTTCCATGGTAATATATTCATCTTTTCTCATTGGTTTTCCAGTTTATATTTATATTATTTATTAATGACAATGATTTAATATTTTTTAGCTCATGGTGGAGGAGGACATGGTCATTCACATGGTGGTATATCTCGCAGCCACACGCGACTAACTCAATTAGTAAGCGCTGGAGCAAGTGCCAATGCTACTGATGATAATGATAATGATCATCGTTTCAATGTACCACTTAATCACACTCATGAATCTTCTGCTGGTCATATGAATATGCGAGGTGTATTTTTACATCTTCTGGCTGATGCATTAGGTTCAGTCATTGTAATTGTATCAGCTTTGGTATGTATAGATATTTAGCTTTTTCAAATTTGGTTTTTTATACCATTGAAAAAGAGGTTATTTTTCTGATTATTATATTGTTCTTAAAAGTTGGCTGACTATTTCTTATCTATTATGAGTAAGCTGTTCTTATTTTTATTTTCTACATTTTAATTTAAAACATTTCAAAAATAAATGTTTATAAAAATTATTAATTGACAATACCTATGTATTGTACAATATACATTTTTTCTAGACCTAATTATCCCTATTATTTCTGTAGGGCCATGTTTAGTGATATGAAAGTATTTAGTTTAATATAATTTTCTAATAAATTATAATTTTTTGAACAAGTTGAGGAATGAGTGAGGATGATAGGTTAAGTTTTTCTTAGTAATTGATTTGATAATTTTAGATTGTGAGCGATGTTTGTATCTATTTTACAATGATTTGTACATTTTAATAATTTTTTTATTTGTGTGTATACTGGATTATAAGTTATAATAATGAATCAATTATCCACTTCAGTAACTTTTCTGTTTGGAAAGTGAATCCAGTTGGTGTATTTGAGGGTAAAGTAAAATTATTAATAGTTTTAAAAGTATTGGGAAAAACAAAAAAAATTATTAATGAAAGACGGGAATGTATACGCTAAATCAATATTTGACAAAATCAATTTTTTTTTTTTTTTTGGAACTCAAAAAAGAATAACCATAGATACTTGACATCTTCATCAAATGTTTATCTTATAATTTCCCTCACATAATTAATATAATTTTTAAAATATTTTGACTCGTTTTGAGTTATTTATAGATATTTTCAATTTGTTCTATAATTATAGATTTTTTTTGTTGGATCAAAAAGCTTGAAAATGTTATACAAGGTTCCTCATAAGTTGGTCTGTTAATAGTTCAAAATTATTAAAGATACTTATTAATATTATGCACAATTTTTTTTTAATAAGCACTAAAATTGTTAAAATTCATCAAAATCATGAAAATTTGCTAATTATATTGTAGTTAAAAAAAGCCAAGGATCAAAAATTTAAAGTAAGGTTCCTTATAAGGATTTCTTACTGTAACTAAAAAATCTAAAAGATTATAAATATTATAGTCTTTTTTAGTAGTTATTTCAAGTACATTAGACAAAATTAAATATTTAAACTGTAAATCACGATTTTTATTGTATTTTTGTGATTTAAAAATATTACCGTCTTCGCTCAGAACCTTTTTGCGTATACAATGATATTTTATCATTGAATTAAAATTTAAAACATCCATTATAGTGACCCACTCGACAACCTACTGTACAGGACAATGTTTTCCACTTGCCCATCTTTTTTTAATATGGTCTATCTAGTTGCAGTTGAAAAGCTAGGAATTTTTTTCCATATTAGGTAGGTAGGTACACATTAAAAAAACAATAGAATTTAATTTAGTTTTAATTAATTTATGTAAAATGTTTTTAAGTTGTGCTTATTTTTAGATTGTGTGGTTGACCGATTGGAAATACCGTGATTACATTGATCCTGCTTTGAGTTTGTTAATGGTTATAATTATCTTACACTCAGTATGGCCATTGTTACAAGAGTCTGCACTTATACTACTTCAGACTGTCCCCACTCATATTCAAGTAGATGCCATCCAGAAACGACTTTTAGACAGAGTGGATGGAGTTTTAGCTGTACATGAGTTCCATGTGTGGCAATTAGCTGGAGATAGAATCATAGCATCTGCACATATAAGGTATTTTTATTTTTGAGTTTAATTTTAATGAGTGAAATATATAATATAAATTTATTATTGTGTAATTATTACCAGGTGTAGGAACTTGCCAGAATATATGAAGTTAGCAGAAAAAGTTAAAGAATTTTTCCATAATGAAGGTATTCATTCAACTACCATCCAGCCTGAATTTGTGGAAGTTGAAGTATGTTTTATAATATTATCAATAATTTTATTATTTAATACTAATATACTTTAATTTTATGTATTATCTATTTATAGATAACAGAAAATAGGAACGAAAACCAAACTCCTACTGAAGACTGCGTATTAGATTGTCCTAAAACTGACATACAGTGTCAATTGCAAACATGTTGCGGCCCGTCAAAGCAGGTAAATGTGTTTGTAGTAGTGCAATCATGAAGCAAATGTTCTTATATGTTTTAAATGTTATAGGGTCGCGACACACCATCTCCTGTTGACACACCATATTTGTGCCGACAACGTAATACAACTTCTGTTACTATTGACGCCACCAACAATTTACAGACTGTCAATACTCAAGAGAGTGAAATGGAAAGTGGTGCACTATTGGGTGATAGAATTAACAATTGTCGTACTTCTGCAGGAGGATTTATCACTGGTGGATAGTATTTTTTCTAAATTATAACAATTTTGTTTTTTTTTTTTTTTTTATATATATATTAGATTATTATAATTATTATTATTATGATGATGAATAACTTAGCACATGGTTGCAATTGAACCTATTACATCAACAAGACCTACCATGTAAAAAAATAAACAAAAATATAACAATATATATTTGCTATGAATATAATATATTTAGTGAGATATGTATCACTCCTTGCAATGAGCAATGTTAGAAGATCAAAATTATATGTGCTCTACACGTACGTTTATGTAAACATCAACAAAATAATCTTAAGTTTATTATACTTTTAAACAATTGTAATGACTTATTAATGCTCAATTGTTGACATTTACCATGGATCTGTATTTGTTTGATGATGTAATATTGGATGAGTAATGTAAATAAAACCAAAATCTTTATAAAAATTAAATTTTTACAATTGATTTTTTTTCAATAAAATTGATTAATTATTTAAAATATTTTTGACTGTATACTAGTTATAATTTGATACAAATAATTTTTTTAGCTTGTAACCCATATTTTGTTTTATTGCCTACCAATTAAGAACGTTTTTAAATATTCATTATTAATATCAAATATATGAATGTATATTGATATGTATACTATTAGATATAATAATAATTACAATTTTAAGTTAAATCACAATTTTTGGAATAGTTTATATGATGTTTTATATAATATTAATATAGGGTTAATAAATATATATGTTTTTGATTATAACAATATTAAACAATACGTTTATAATAATATAATTTCCATAATGTAGTAAAACATAATTGAGTATTATAATATGTTTAAATACACATTATTTTTTTAATCAGAATTTTTAATTATTTAATGTACCTGTTTACAGTGACATACTGTAGTAATATGGCCCTGACATGTAATATTTCAGGTATTAAACGTCTGTAAAATAATGGGTACACATTATATAATATATATTATGTTTACACATTTTTATTTGTAGACTAATTTATTATACTAATTTATTGAATCTACATATATATCTTTTTGTTACTGGTTTTCAAAAATGTCAGAAGTATAACAATTAACATTATGTGTAATATTATATAGATACATAAGTTATATTAATTATATTATATTTTTATAGTCATATTTTTTGATCATAAAATTGAAATTTCAAGTATACTTTATTTAGAATTATAAATTATTATAATCGCCTAATAAATACATTTTTAGCTTTTAGATAATATAATAATTTATTATTATTTGATGACGAGAAAGTATTTGCATGTGTAGGTATATAACTGTCTGTTATATTAAATACTTAGTATATTATTTTTTTAATAAACTTGTAAACTTAATTAAAATTACATAGTTTTTTACAGTTTGGTATTTCTTGGAGTAGATAATATGCTATTATGCAATTTTTACAATACTAATGAAGAAAGGAGGCAACATTGTTATTTATTTAGTTTTAACAAAGCAGTTGCAGCTTTCAAAAATATTAAGTATATTTTTATGATGAACTGTATAGACAACATAATTCGGTAAGTAAAATTTGTGCTTAATGATACCTATAATATAAAAAAAAACTAGCATTAATGATGACATGATGATCATGATCATGATCATGACAATCATATTTTATATTTTAATTTTTAAATACTGATTTTCATAGGTAATCGTACATTTATATAAAATTTCAAGTAATTACACAAAATATAAAATCAATGTTATATTTTGATTTGAAGAATGGATAATTTTGTTACCAAGACATAGGCATGACTAAATCAATTTAATTTAATTTATTTAGTCATGCAAGTAGGTATGCAATTTTAAAAAGAATAACTAGAATTGATTACCCTCTTACCAAAATATATTAAAGAGCCCACGTTAGCAAATTATAGGCAAATCTTTGTCATAGTGTTACTAGGTGATGATAATGATGGGGAACAGTGGATCACATTTTAGAAAACCAAGTACCTATGACGAAGAAAGAGGTTTCGGTATAAAAATTAATTATTGCACGTAAAACCATAGCATATTGTTGTATGACTGGGTGTACACAACAACTAGACAGACTAGAAGGAGACTTCTTATCATTGATGTTGATCGCAATTTACAAATCAGCCAATGTTTACAAAAAAATTTTTTCACAGTACCTATGTATTAATATGTATAATGTATAATATTATGAATAAATGTAAACATTGCCTGCTTAATAAATGGCGGCCGACTGCAGCATCGGATGCAGCTGTAGTATAAAGACTGCTAACTAGTTGTTGTATATATTATCTCTGAGTAAAACGGTTATAAGGGTTGCTGGTAACTGGCTAAGGTATATTGAACGAGACAATAACGGGTTCTTAGTTATAGAGAGAGAATAAATAAGAGGTTAAAACAGCGAATTTAGTGTGCAAAGTGGTACTTTTTTATATCACTCGTCATCGGCTGTAGTTGCTACAAACTTCTGTTAAAAAACTGACAACAATGAAGGGACGTGCCACGTGCTCTAAGTGGAGGAGGAACGGACTGGAGAAGCTTACAAGTTACCACACGCACCATATCCGGTAGAAGGCATTCGAGTGGATCAACAATTTAAAGTAAGACTTGTGTGATTTGGTTTTAGACAAGTAGGGTTGACGGTATTTTCATTTAACTGGTGATTGCTCATATATACCACTTGCGGACTTGAATTTTATATTGCGGATCGCGTCATTATACTGAAAACAAATATCAACAGTATGATTATATATGACTTTGTTTCAGATAAATCAAAAATTGTTAAATATTTGTGTCTTCAGACACCTGCACGCAATTTAAATAGGACATTTTCATATTTCATTATTTTGTGTATTGTGTATAATTATGATTAATTGGTACGTATTTTATTATAATTTATAACTCAGAAAGTATCTAATACAATTATGGTATAATCATTAATCAATACCGGTAAGCATATGTATTACGGATTCACGGTATACTTTAATATTGGTATTACGAATTACGATATACTGGGCCACTGGGGTATTATTCTGTATAGTATATACCTATAGGTTTTACGGTATTCCGGTATAGACTGGTATGGCTTATAGTTTATACCATCGCGGCGTTAAGCCCGGTCCAGACCAAGAAACATTTGTAGGAAACATATGTTTCTGACATTGTCGTCGACAAATATTTATGTTACCGCTTATGAGCGGAAATCGGAAACATTGTCGATGACAATGTTGGAAACACTTGTTTCCGACAAAATTTTCTTTGGTGTGGACGGGGCTTTACATACCGGTAGACATTCTGATCTCGCAATATCGGTATCAAAATATGTCGATTCTGTTAACCTTATAGACGAGAATTTATTAATATGTATCGTTAATACATATTTTTGGGCAAATATGAAATAACTAGGTACCTAGGTGGCTAGGTATTAATTATTTTACTATAATTTGATGATCTGTTTGTTTGTATTTTTAAATTTTTATTTTCACGCGTTTAGGTTTATCAAACGTTTAACTGTATTAACAATTTACCAATGCCGTATGAAAGAGAAGAAAACGAACTCTAGTCCGTAGGAAAAAAATGAAAATGGAGCGATCTTTAGGTAAGACCGGTAGCCCGGACTCTAAAAATAAGCTCTAAAATTTTTTTCTTTTGTCGGTTTTCGATATCGGTGCTAACTGCTAGAAAAATTTGGGCTTCTAGCCAGAGAAAAAACTTACGGGCTAGATTTGAAAATGAACGGCAGAAACCGAACGCGGAAGAGGTCGTTCGACCTCGTCCCGTTCTATATATAGAATTTCAGCGTCGTCCGTTTCGCAGCGAAACCGAAACAAACAAAAAAAAAAAAATCAAGGAATTCCGGGACACGCAGTCGTGTCGTAACAAACGTTTTTGGATCGCGTTTGTTACAATAACAAACAAAATAACACGAAAACACCAACTTACGGTGCGCGTTTCGCTAGAGTTTGGCGGCGACGACTTATGTTTTTGTATAAACAATAACAACAACAACGTGTATAGTATATACTGCATAGTACCGCAGTGTTGCCGAATTTAAAATGTCATATTACCATTTTATGATAACAAAATTACCACAATTACCACATTACCATATCAATATTACCACTACGAATACCACATTAGAATTTAGAAATATAACGCGCTCGCTTCGCTCGCTACTATACTCCCTTTTTACCGATTAATATTTTAAGCATATAAACACATAATATTATGATTTAGGACTTGGGTATGCTTTCTTATATAGTATGATATCCATATTCAATGTATGTACTTAGTACGATATAATATTGTATAGGTACTGTATAGGTACCACCTATAGACTAGATATATTAGTTGTACATGTTTATTGACTTATTATAATTTACATATAATTTTTAATTTTTATCATATAATAAACCAACAATATATATTAAAACAAATAAATTCACAAAAGTTTAACTTTATTTTTTGAATGAAAAGAAAATCACAACTTGGATTATAAAATATGTTTAATGTATATTAAATTATATATTATATGCTTATAATTTATAACAATAAAAATAACATTTTTAGCAAAAAACAATATCACATAGATTTTTTACTAATTTAATAAATACATAACTTAAAAAAAAATATCACTTCTTGGATTTGGTACAAATTTAATATTTAAGTATACTTAACATTTTATTTATGATATTTATAATATAATTGTCAGTTAATTACCGCGGTTGCATATCCACAACCGTGTTATAGCATGGCATCTTATTTGTCATGGCTATAATTATAATACATAGTTAGCATAGATATCTGTGTACTGGCGTACCTACTACAGAAATTATTTACAGTAACAGTAACAGTTGTACAACTTGTACCGTTTCGCGTTTAAACATTGATTAGGTAATCTGCTTATCTGCGATCACGATTTATATCTTAAATCGTGTCTGCGATCAAAATATGTTAATCAATTAGTATTATCAGTTATCACAGAATTGATTAAATTTATATTTTATTCTGTGGTATTATGGAAAACATCCGTGAATTATATAACCAAAAATAATAGTAAAAAAAAAAAATTTCAATATAATGCAATTTAGTTCTCTAATGGTCGGTTTCAAAGTAAATATAGTAAATAATACCACATTTTTTTGTATTTTCATAAATACCACAAAATTACCACCATTTTAACTATACCACACCATGTACCACAAGTGGATTAAATTACCACCGTATGGGGTAATTACCACATCATCGGCAACACTGATAGTACGTCAATACACCGCGCGCGCAGCAGCTGCGGCCCTGTAGTTTCACACATTCGCGAACAAAACCCAAAACAACAAAACCAAGCACACGCGATCGTTATACAATAGTACAACACACTACACGGTACCTACTTACCTACCTACCCTAGTGTCCGTGTATTACATTGTACGTGTGTCGTGGACACACGCCCCACGCACGCCGGGAACCGCGACGATAATTAATATGCGCGGTGAAGGCTAAAAATACGTGGCCGCCGCCGACCTGTGTGCTAAAAACGTGTACGGCGGCGAAACGCTCGCTCGCCGGCGGCGTGCGCGCGCGCTATAACTTTTTGCACCGTTCCTGAGTCCTGACACGCGCGCGCGCTCGCTCACCGACGATTCGCACCGGCACCGTCTCCCCACGCTCTGTCACACGCCGAATGCGCGCGCGCACACGCCGCCGACTGCCTTGATAAAATACTATAACACATAAATCGATGGTACGCGATAAAACGCGCAAAAGTCTTCCGCTTTTGACCCGATCGACGCCGCCGTAGCGATCGCTTCGTCGTACAGTAACCGCCGTTACGTGGTCAGGAATTCCGTCGTCATCGTCACTGGACGTCACGATAGTATATTATTATAAGACCGACTATCGTGCAATAACAGACATGGCGGTGACGGTGGCGCGATGACCACGTCTCGACTCGTCGGTGGGTGACACCGGCTGGCCGGCACGCCGTGTTTAATACCCCAGTGGACATTGAAAAAGTAACGTGATTCTGTTTGTCCATCGTCGTCGTCGTGGTCCCTGTCATCATTATTATCGTTCCGTGTCGCGTGTGTTTCTGTCGACAGGTGTTGTGCTCGACCGAGGCCCCACAGTCCTAGCATAGGTGGTTTACACGGTCGAGTGACATGACCACCAAGACCGCCGTCGTCAAGTCCACCGACGAACCGGTGGACGACCCGCTTGAGCACATGCTGTTGTTCTTCAACCTGAGCATACGCAAACTGGCGTTCGTTGGCGTGTCTTTGCCACTCATCACACTGCTGACGTGCCTAGCAACAGCGTACTTTTTCCAGTACGACGACGTGCACGAAACCCATTGTCGAGTGAGTACATCAATAAAGATTTGCGCAGTCATAATCAAAGGTTGTCTTCGGGGCCGTCCTTAGGATTTTCGAGGCTCAGGGCGAAAACCCATTTTACCACTTTTTTTCAAACGCGAGGCTTCCAAATAAAAAAAGTGAAGTAAGTAAAAAGCGTGAGGCCCAGGGCTAATGTATAGGGCCCAATGTATAGCGTTCAAGTCCGGATTAAAATACGAAAGATCTATTGGATCCTAGGACACCGGAAGGGGCCGACACTTAGTGGGGCACTGGGGGCCCTTTCAACTCTTAAACTACAATCATTATCATTTCAATTTAATTTATAGGTACTATTTTATGGTTGTAATTTTATAATTATGTGCCTACCATTTAAAAAAACAAATTAACTGTTTGGTATTATGTATATATACTACTCAAATTACGAACGATTAATTATATTATGTTATTTGGACCAGTCGACCAGTGGCGTAGACATGATTTCTGAAAGAGTGGGTGATCAAAAAAAGATAATTACATAATTAAATGGGAGGGGAAAATTGGAAAATCCCCCAGTCTCTTAAAACTTTTTACGTTGGTAGGTAGTAAAATATTTAACAATAAGAAACAATGAATATAATTTGAATTGATTCAAAATTCACATCAAACTAGGGTAGAAAAAAACCAACCCGGTTGGGTTTTATATTGGCTTTTTTGAAATAATACCCCCAAAACCCGGGTTTTATTGTATAGTAGCCGCTGCTTATAAGACTCATTTTGGCACCAGCACAAAGTGAGTTTTATAACCTAATGAATCTTATAGGGGAAGTGGGAAAAACAAATTTAATCTACTTTAATTTAACTTACATATTGCATAATTATCATTGAATAAATTTAAATTCTGATAAAAAAATTTAAATTATAATACATATTATAAAAATGATTACATATTAATAAAAAAAATTATAAAAGATGTATGATCTATGTATTATTTATGAAAACAATTTTAATTTTTGGTTTGTTTTGAGTTATAAACTAATATTCCGGAATTATATCTATTGATTAACCACTGGCTAAAGATTAGTATTCTTGTGTCATCCATGCATTTTTCTTTGCTGAATAGTCCACAGGTAAATCTTTAACTCCTTTGAAACAACGAGGCTTTTTACTTTTTCCAATAACGAACAGTTTATTTTTTTCTCCCGTCATACTGGCACAACACATTATCGTCATTCGTTCTTTACATAATATGTTTTTGTTCCATTTGTTTTGTCATTTTTAAGAACGTAAACGTATGTTCAGGTAGTTCTCTAAAGTACAAACCTGTTTCATCCGCATTAAAAACATCAGAGGGTGAATATTCAGTATAAGTATTAAGTAATATTGTGTGATTTCATTGGGTTTTTTTCTGAAAAAACCTATCCGAAAAATCATAAATTTTTTTTTATGTATTAGCTGCACGGTCTTTTGATTTTTCCCTTATCGCCCTATATCTATACCGGCCCCGCCAAAAACCACCAAAATAATATATTTGATATTGACATTCCGACCTTTTCTCACTTTTGCGCTCCCCTCCCATAAAATTCCTAAAAATATATTTGTATTATGAATAATATGTATCCAATATATATATTGGATACATTTTAGATTCTGACCAGAGTGAGGAAGCTAGTGGTTTTACAACGGTGTTATTTTTTTTTATCCTGTATACAAAAGTTCTACCAGAAGAAGTGCTTCGATTTTGACACATAGTACTTTATCTTTTAGCAAATTGGATCAAGATGGTACTTTATAGAGAGGTCATTTTTTCGATTTATCAATAGTAATATGTTATTTAATGCCACGGTAAAAACACCTAAAAATTACGAAAAACCGCTAAAAATTGGATTTTAATTTTAAACGCTTTATTTATAGCAACGAATAAAAAATAATAATATTATAATATTAATTCAACTTACATGATATAATAACTAATAACAATATAAAATATCCAGACTGACAAACCGTCTCCGCTCAGAATCGTTTTTCTTATGCAATATGATATTTTATCGTTGAATTCAAGTTTAATACAATCCATTATACAATAACCCACTTGTAACCTACTGTACAGCAGAGCGACATCCACTTACCAGCTTTTTTTTTTAAATATTTTTAGTTGCTTATTGTCAAACTATAATACAATGTGTATATTTAATATTATGTTCCGGGGGGAAGTGACCGGCCGACGTCATATGAAAGTATACCAAAAGTGATGAAAAACTTTAACTACAATAAATATATTGTAAAATTACATTTGTTGAGTACCTACACAATAAAATTGTTTTCCAAAAACAAAATATTGTTTCTTTTTTTTACTTATTAGAGTGTATTTGTATTAATTGTAGTAATTGTATTAATTTCTTCAGAAAACTCCTAAACTCTGTACTTTTTTTATTACTAGAATATTATAGGAAGTGATTTATGATCATATATAGACAATTGTGATATTGTTATATGCAAAAAAAATTGAGTGAATTTCTATAATAATATCATCAAATCAGTCCGGGTTTCTTATGGTTTTTTTTTTTTTAAATAATTAGTGTGTTTAACCCAGAAAAGCAGCCCCGTTTTTTATGGGTTTTTAAAAATATTGAGTGGGTTTAAACTAGAAAAACAACCCGGGTTTTTTTCGGACTGGGCTTTTTTGTCTCAACCCTGCATCAAACACAATATGGAAGATTATCCACTCTAAACGTCCCCCCCCCCTTATATACATCATTGATTTGATTAAAGATTCCTACAAATATACCGCCACTACCACTGAACTTACAAATTATATTTTTAACGTAATAAATAATAATATAATTAAAATACTAATATACACTTCAGAGCCAAGCGGACTGGACCGCTGTTTAAATACCCTATTGTTATCTTTATAAGAAATAAATGTGTACCTACTTACAATTATTATTCATTCTCGAATTACAACTAAGTAAAATAATATTTCGATGAGAAATTGTTAATTTACTGGATGAATCTAATGTCATAAAAATTTTAACTTTGGAGATTCATAAAAAATTAATTTTACTTTCCGCTTAATTTTTGTTTTAAAGGTAGAAAAACTCATAATAAATCTTGTATTAAATTTTTAAATATTTAAAAATGTTTTATTAATTTCTAATTCAAAATAATTTTCAGATTTTTGTAATTTTGATGAATTTGATCAAATTGCTAAATTCAGACGCTCGTAAAAAAACTATAATTGAATTAACGCTTAATTTTTTTTTTTGAAATTAAACTTACGTCATCGTCTGATCGTCAACTTATTAGAAATCTTGTATACAATTTTCCAGTTTCTTGACTGAACGAAACATTTTTTTGATTTAAAAAAAAAACTAACAAAAATCGGAAATGTCTTATGCCTATAAAAGCTTAAAAAAGTGAAACAATTTTAAAAATGCCAATATAAACTTTCAGTGACTTTTTCAAGAGTACGATTATTTTTACAGTTGGACCACAAAAACAACATCGATTTTGTTGGAAATTGGTTTTGCGTAAAAACTCTCGTTTTTCCTTTATTATTTTTTTATTTTTTCCTGTCGCTTTTAAAAACTTCTTGGAATTTTTTATTTTGATCTGTCGATTGCACCAACTAGATTCACTTTTTCACCAGAAAAGATTCTAAAGTTGAAAATCGACAGACGTTTCGACTTTCGACTACTTATCGTATACATAGACAGTTAACACATAAAAAAACACATTTCTTTGTAAAGTCAATAGGTACTTACATTTCTCGCTCCCCTCAAAATCTAAAATATATAATATTATGTTATCGAATTTTAGATGGAAAAATTAAATATTAAATAAAGAGTGATGGTGATAGGTAACTAAATTAGGGTCACTTGAATTGTGATTTTCACGGGCCGATTTTCCCCCCCCTGTCCGCCACTTAATTGTTATACTTTTACAATATTTTTACCTCACGCGACTACCTGAGGTAAAAACATCTAGTAATTGACTATGCACATGGACATTAAAGTATTATTATATTTATACTTGAAATTGTATTCATTCATTTCATTAAATTCAGGCAGTAATACATTCATATATATTTTATTATTTTATAACTAATAAAAATAAATCTAAACAAAATTAATCATTGGTGTAGGTAAGTGATGAATTTCACTAGGTAACTAGGTTTCTAATATACTTAGTCAAATTATATTAATTTTAATGTTAGTCCTTTAGTATTGACGGATTCAAAGAAAATCTATTTATTTATTGAAATTCATCAATTTTAAATTAAAAATTTAATATTTTTCAACTCAAATTATAGAGTTATTGTTTTGCCCAGCGGGTTCACTGCATTTTTTTTTAATTATTTCATTACTTACTGTGGTAATTTATAATTTTTATAAATGATAAGTTTTGTATATTCTTATTTACATATTTTCAAAAATGGATCCCCCCTCCCCTCCCCTCATACAATGAGTGCCATGGATGTCCCTGACTCCTGAGTTGTGCATGTTGCGTTTTAGGGTTTTACTCAAGCAACGCTTTTTTGTCCCTTCAGGTCTACAATGTGATACCGTCGATTAGTGCCATCACTGGTGTGACGCCCCAGACGTACATGTGGCGGATAGCCGTTGCTTTTCACGTTGGACCGCGTATGGTCATCGCCCAGGTGTACTACAACTATTTCATCAATCAGGTGTCCAAGGCCGCTGACAAGTCCACCTGTTACATACTTATAAATCTCTGCTACTGGCTCAATCTCATTGAAATAGCCGCCATCTGTGGCGTAACCTACATATCCAACAGAGAAAACTATCGTATGTATCCAAGTTTATTCTTATTGTTATTTAATCTTCTGTATTTTAACAATAATCACCCCTGATTTTTGTCGTTTAGCTGTGCACGAGAAGATCTTCATTTTGTTCATGCTCAGCTCATTGTTGTACATGATTGTTATGATTAAGACATTTAGCAAGGTACACAAAACAATGACGGAACATCAGCGTCTGTCGTATACCATTAAAAAAATACTATTCACTGTTTGTATCACGTCGACGTTCACATTAATAATTTACTTTATTAAACATCGGTTCTACTGCCATGACTTGGGTAAAATCTTCAATAACACAATATTAAAAATTAAATAGTGTAATAATTTTTATTTGTTGATTTCGTTTCAGCATTCACCTGGTTTGCACTCAGCGAGTATGTCCTGGCAGTATCAAATATGGCTTTCCACTTTACTATTACACTGGACTTCCCACACGAACAGTTGATAGTTGCTAAAAACTTTCCAACATTGAAAACGGACTGAAATGTTCTCTATACTGAATTGAAGACTTATGACTCAAACATCTTACTTCCATACACTTTCTAATTAATCTACTTTTTAAGTATATAATATAAAGTACACATAAATATATATATACACATTTGACAGCTCTTAGGCCAACGCTCATGTAATATGTGTTTAGTTTGGAAACTATATTGTTTTATATTCTTGTCGACTTTCAGTTTGAATAGTTTTCAATTGAATTTTTAACTTCCTACATAATTGTAATTCGTCTTTGTCTAATGTTAAGTTCAAAATATATAATTATTATGCATACACATATAATTATAAATACATGTATAATATTATAGTTTCCAACATAAACACGCACAATGACTAAAGTTTCGAATAGTTGTGATTTCGCTGCCAAGGATAATATATGTGTTTAAATTTGTTTTTGGTACAATCTATACATTTTATAACAAACAAATTTAGGTCATATATCATCAGTTGTCCTTTGGTAAGTGTTTTTACCGCAACCACCTGAGCAATTAGTTATTCTACATGTAAAATATGTGTTACTACAATATTATAACTGGGTGCAAAAAAAAGTGATGTGGCCAAATACAAGTACAATAGACATTGTATACATAATTGTATAAGTCTTTTGAATAAAAAACAAATCATCATTATAATTGCAAATAATTAGTTGATGGATTTCAAATAAACTTTATTACGCCTTAATAAAGTAAAGAAGGCTTATTATTATAAAGTCAAATATGGCTGCTTTTATGTTTTTTAAATCACTATTTTGTATCATATACACAAAAATGTGTGATTAATTGATATATTATTTATAAAGGGAAAGACTTATTTTATACTGCACCTGAATTAGACTTCCATGAAGCTTGAATATATTTGTTTATTAATATGAAGTCAAATTTCTTTAAAACTATATTTTGTTAATAATTATTTTTATTATCACTTTCTGGATCCTAAGAGCGTCATTTTTCTCTTTGTATGTATTGCCAGTGTTTCTATGAAAAAGAAGGGTTAATCATTAGCTCACATTATGACACATGTAGAATTAAGTAGTACTTATTTTGTTTTGTGGTAATTATGATGTTAAAAAAATGTTGTTATTACAAATAATTATTTGTTTTTCGAGGTGCTCAGTTGCTTCAGTTGGCCGGGATTTTATAACAAATATTATGAAAATTATAATTCTTCCAGTGATCTATAAAATAAGCTTCCTGTATTATTATTTACTCATTGCTTCCTTAAACTTACAAAATTCTCCGATTTTCAACAATGCATTTACATTATAAAAACAAAGAGTTATTATTATTATTATTATTATTACAATATATTACCTAGTCAGATAATTCACACAGTTTCTAGTCAATTGGTTACTACCTGTTTAGTTATAATTATAATAGGCTATAAGAAGAAATTTATGTTTGTATCCCTATATTAGTTTTGTAAACCACTTTGTTTTCTAGTTTTAATTTATTTGAATGTACGATTTTATTGATGTTTTTGTTTCAAATTTTAATAAATACATTAACATATTAGGGTAATTATTAACAGGACGTGATACCGCAAGTATTGTCTTCGTCTTACAAGTGCTTAACATAGCAAATTATTCTCAAAACAGAACATGTATAGCTCCGTTAGCTTTAAAATTAGAGTGAATTGAACTCTTATAAAATCTAAAGGTAAGATTATTATCTAGACAACCTGATGGGCTTTTTATTACATTTTAATTTTAAAGCGAATTATGAGTGTTTTAAAATTGTAAATTGTTTGTTCATTTTAAAGTACTCATAACTCGCTTAAAAATTAAAATATAATAAAAAGCTCATGAGGTTGTCTAGATAATCTTACCTTTAGATTTAATAAGAGGTCAATTTACTCAAACTTTTAAATTATCGGAGCTACATGTGTTTTGCTGAGCATAAAATTTGCTTTGTTATGCACTTGTAAGACAGAGACAACACATGTGGGTATCACTTCCTCTTAAGTCGTTGTTTAAGTCATAATCATGGTAATTTTGTTATAAATTATTGCACTACTTTTTAGTGGACATGGATAAATGTTATAACTTATAAGTTATAACTTATACATTAATTTAATATGATTTGTGTGAACTATGAAATTAATTGTATCAATGAGTTATAATTTCAATAAAACGTGATGAAAATAAATTTTTTTTTATTTTCTTAAAGCATTCATTATTTTGGATCTTAAAAAAGGTAGGCATGTGATGTTAATAAAATATTAACGTCAAATACTGATCTACCTTGCACTCATCACAGTCAAACACAAACTTCTTGAATGCTGACAAAACATATCAAATTCAGATTGAGATACAAAAAACAACATTACCTATTTCAGAAACTTGGCAAAAACCCTTACACTTTCCCAGTCGAATATACTTATCAAATGTATAAATTAAACTGATTTTCATCAAACTATAATAACTATTATAATTATTGTATTGGCTAATAACCTTATTATTAAATTGATAAATATCATTAAGAGGACGGGGTACCCGCAAGTGTTGTCTCCGTCTTACAAATGCGTAACATAGCAAATTATACGCAAAGCAGAACACGTGTAGCTCCGTTAGCTTAAAAATTAGAGTAAATTGACCTCTTATAAAATCTAAAGGTAAGATTACTATCTCGACAACCTCATGAGTTATTTTATTATATTTTAATTTTTAAACGAGTTATGAGTACCTTAAAAATGTACTTTAAAATGTATAAACAATTTACAGTTTTAAAATACTCATAGCTTGCTTTAAAATTAAAATATAATAAAAAGCCCATGAGGTTGCCTAGATAATAATCTTACATTTAAATTGTATAAGAAGTCAATTCACACTAATATTTAAACCAACGGAGCTACACGCGTTCTGCTGAGCGTATAATTTGGTATGTTACGCATTTGTAAGACGGAGACATCACATGCGGGTATCACGTCCTCATTTTTGGCTTAAAAAAAAAAATAATATAATCATGAAAGAAAGAAAGTAATATACTAATATTATTATTGATTAATATAGTTAAGGTTTTGTTACAATTATTGAGTTAAATTCAGTGACTATTACTCTCCGACTCCCAAGTCCCAGACATCGTAATTTCAAAGTTTGAAGAACGAGTTAAAGAAATTAGTACCTACCTAGTCCAGATCGACGACCTCAAAATAGTTAATTCTAAGCTGCAGGTTGTTAGACGGCTTGGAGAAAAAAGTTTCGGTTCTGGATGCCAGTAGTCCTTCAGTTTTTTTTTATCTATCCACATGCCTTTACTAATTTCACAGGTTCTCCTTGAAACATATGAGCATGTGAAATGCGACTATTTTAGTCTACGGAGTACCTGAGTCGACTTCTTCTTCAGCGTCTCTGGCCTCAACCATTGATTATAAATGGTGCAACGGACGATACTATAGCACTCTATCACTGCTATCAACACCCAGGGTTGGGCATAGCATAGTAAGTTACCTTGTAACCAAGTTATGTAACTCAGTTACTTTTGTAACTTTTAACAAGTTACTCATTTACAATTTAACTTGTCACAAATTTTCATGTAAGTTTATATAAAAGTTACAAGTTACAATTTAAAGTTACATTGAGCTTTGAAAATTCATAAGTAGGTCTGCAAAAGCAAAAAAATAAAACGTTTAATTCAAGATACCTCATAAGTGTTTGTCTACTTTTATCAAAAAAGATGTCTACCGGAAAGTGAAATTAAATTTTTACGAGCGTTTGGAGTTATAGACAACGGATATTTACCCGTAGGTAAATTAACAAATTCTCATACAACAATTTATTTATTTTGTTGTAATTCAATTATAACTAATAACCTTAGATACTTAAAAATTAAAATTTACACCATATGTTTATTTTATCATTTTTAGATTCTGAGTGGAACGATGAATGTATTGATTTTACAATCATGTGTGTTTTTTATTTTTGTGTCTGTCATCACATTTTAGGACAGTAAAAGTGCTTGGATTTTCTTCAACAGTGTCTTTTCTGATAGGAAAGTGAATCTTGTTGGTACTTTGGAGGGGCAAAAGTAAAAAAAACCTAGTAGTTTTCACAAGCGCCGGGAAAAACAACATAAAAATTAAGGAAAAACGGGAATTTTTACGCAAAATCGATTTTCCAAAAAATCGAATTTGGTTTTTGGTGTAACATTAAAACAAATGACCGTAGATACATGAAATTTTCACTGGTTGTTTATATTTGCATTTTCTATACACGATAACATTTTCAAAATATTTTGATTTATTTTGAACTGTTTAGGGACATTTTCATTTTTCATTTTTTTTTAGTTTTTTTTCTAGAAATATCAATAAAATTTTATTTGTTGGTTGCGAAAGCTTGAAAATTTAATAGAAGGCTCCTAATATGTTGTTTTAAAGGCAGATGAAAAATATTAAAAATCCTTAGTCACAATTTTTTTTATAAGCATTTAAAGTTCAAAAATTTACAAAATATGGAAAAATCACGAAAATTAGCAAATTATTTTGAGTTAAGAATTCGTAAAAATTTTTCTTTTTAAATCTAAGATTTGAAAATGAAACACAAGTTTCCTTATAAGATTATCTACCTTTATCAATAAAAAATCTCTACCGGACAGTCAAGTTAAATTTTTATGAGCGTTTGAAATTCAAATTTTTACAACATTGGGTATTCACTCGATTACTCATGTAGCGATTTCCTTATTTTGTTGCAATTCAACAACGAACAACTGTAGATACATGAAAATTTCACTCAATGTTTAAATTAGCATTTTCTATACACCATACAATTTTGAAAATATTTTGACTCTTTTTGAGATGTTTATGGACATTTACAGCTTTCAATTTTTTTTAGTTTTTTTTTTCTATAAATATCAATAAAGTTTTATCTGTTGGGCCAAAAAGTGTAAAAATTTAATACAAGGCTCCTGATATATTGTTACAATAGCAGTTGAAAAATATTAAAAATACATAGGCACAGTTTTTTTTTTATAAGCATTTAAAGATCA